CCAGGGAGGAGCTGGTTCTCCATTACTAACAGCCAGTATAGCCATATTTTGGTAGCTTCTGAGACCGGCTGCTGGTTAGAAAATAGTAGTAGGCCTGAACTCTAGTACTAGTAGTAGTATTAAAAAAAACTCTAGACCACCTGACTAAGAAGCGCCCAGTCCAGCATGTTGATAGTACTATACTAATTAGTACTTAAAAACCCATATTCTTGTTGGGAGGAGCCTTAAGGATGTTCTGGCAGCTTAGAACTGGTCTGCCAAAGTTATACTAGTAGTTGATGGCCAAAAATCCGCTATTGAAATAACTGGTACAAGTACTTTGATGAAAAGGTAGCAAAGATCACCATGATTGATATGATACAGATAAATTGCTGATAATTGAGTTGCTGCTGGTGGTGGTGGTGGTGTGGTTGCTTTTTTTGTGTTTTGCTTCTTTTTGCCTGTTTCCCTGCAAATCAATATTTCTATACAGTGTTTTCTACACAACTTTGTACTGGAATAGCAATCAAGATCAGTTTTTCAACTGAAAACTGCTTACAYATTTTTAGTACTCCTTGTACAATATACTGTGTACTACTAMTGATACTATGTACTAGTAGTTAGTACTGAATTTGTGAGCACTYAAAGACAGTTTTTAGTACTCATGCCTGTAAGCACACTAAACAGGCGCACTGTGCACTTTTTTTGTAACCAGACCCAGAAAAATTTGTAACCAGACTACTAGTACTAGTAGTATTGTGGAGAAAAGAAGGGCCTCTCTACAGAAAAGGGATGTGTTTCAAGTCCTGGTTACAAGAAAATTGGTTGAGGAGCATGTATTTAAAACAAAAAATTACTAGTAGTATGCACCAGCTGCTAGACAAATCATGTACCTGTTTAGTAACCAAGCCTGCATGGTTACATGTAATTTTGATGCTACTCAATGGTTAGGTACGGTATACRGAATTTTCTTGCTTTTGTGTAGCTAGAAGTAACAGTYAGTACCACTGGTGGTGACGGTTGCAATGGTACRTGTATTTGTAGAATGTACTAGTCAGTAGAAGTRTTATTTTCTATTTTTAGTAATTATTTTGCTTCCCTCACCTTTCAACAATAGAGACCTTCTTCCCAACGCCACCCAAAACAAACTACTACTAGTAGTATTAATATTGCCATGCATTGAATGATATTGAATGTGTACTAGAGACAAATATCAACAAGATGAATGCCACCATCACTGGATTAGTATTACTTTCTYCAAGAAGAGGCTGAGCGTAGAAATTGACAATTGCGCTTTCCCTCCTCTTATTCCTCTTTCTTTTCGTTTTTGAGTATCCAATGCACTGCCGAATAAAAGTTYTTTGCATAAAGAAATGGAAAGATTGATGGCTTTGGAGAATTGCCGATGGTATCTGTCGCAGMTGTAATGTTTATGTTGCTCTCTTTTTCATTGACTATTGTGACTTCTCCATCCAAATCTGGTGCGTTCAATCCTCCCATTAACTCCCGACCGTAGCCCGTCTCCACCAATATTCTCGTTCCAACCCCTCCTCGAGCTGCAGCCTGAATATCTGTTAATGCATCACCGACAAACAAAATAGAATCACTTGAATGAACACCTACGCCAAATAGTTCCATTGCCTCCTCAATCATTCCTGGGTTTGGTTTCATTCGGTGATCGTTAGATTCTTTCAACGACGTGCAGTAGAAGATCTTGTCGAATTTTGCATCTGGATCTCCGGCCAGCAGCATCTCCTCCAATCTTYCGTGAATCTTGTCCACGAGATCGTCTTCCGTAATCAACCCCTTTCCGACGCAGCTCTGGTTGGTGATCAACGCAACCGTGTACCCCGCACGACGGAGTCGACCCAAGGCAAGAGCCACACCGGGTGTTAGCTCTAGTTGCGACACTCGAAGAACACCTGGAGCCCCGACATCTTGGTTTACCACCCCATCTCGGTCAACGAGAACTAGTTTCGGTGTGACCGCCATTGTGACAGCGCCGAACGACGAAACTAGCTCTCCCTGCGAGAGGGCTGTCGCAATTGATGTGAGAAACGTCAGATTGGTWAACAATGCAATCGAAGATAGATTGAGTGGCATTCTCTAACTATTAYTTCSTTTGGTGTTGTCTTCATTCCATTGGGGACACAGGACGATAGAAAAAAGTGCCGTGTGGGTACGAGTTCGTACGAGTATTACGAGCTAAGATTTGATGTGAAATTTTAGATCAYGATTGATGGATTTGAAATGGGATTCAGATCGGTCATGAGTGGATAAGATCCTTCCCATTCTTCCTACCGGTAMACGCAAGTTGACTGACACCAGATCCGTCCATCCATCCATCCCCTCTGATTTTACGTCCATCAAAATATCGAACGAAATACTTCGGAGAACAAAAATACTGTTGCTAGTTTGGGATCAGATCCATTGGACAACTACCATACTATCTTATTAACAACTTATCAGCATCATAGAACAAGTAGAACAGGCAAAAGAAAAGCATTTTAAAATCCCTTTTTTATCGCCGATATAACAAAGAGGCTTCTTCGTCACAAAGAATCATGTCAATTTCTGAAACAACAACCCCAACATGGACAACATCGCCATGGAGCCATTCGGTCATCATGTGCACTCTGTTGCTTTGGGGACTTTTCTTAAATGAAAATGTGCTATCTGCGTCGGGGTTTGGACCAACGCGGACAACGAGAACATCTTCGTTCACCAATACCCATGCTCTCGGAGGCTTAACGGTAGGGAGGAGAACGRTTGATTCATTGGGGTCGACAGCCGACGACGAAGCAACTGCCGAAGTTGAAATTGCGGACGCAGCAAGTCTTCGTTCTGTAACTTTTTCAAACATAATGAAAGACCAAGAACCACAACTCTTGTGCAATTTTCTGATGGAGCTTGGAGCTGCCAGCACCTGCATCGTGGATGCAGACAGGGGAACCACCGACGAGAAGGCCATTTTCGACGAATTCGACGAGACCAGCATGACTCGAACGGCGGTCACTACGCACAACTGGAACAACTGTCACGTTTCGGCTCACTTTCCCGCTTCGGTTTCACTAGAATGGATCATGGAAATTGTTCAGGATACCTTTCCAAATTTGCCGCGATACGACAAAGTTACCAAAGTGGAAGACAAAGATTGGGTCCTGCACGTTCAGAAATCTTGGAAACCTATTGTTTTACCGCCGTTTGTCTTGAGGTTCCCCTGGCACACGGACAAAGTGGTTGCAGAAGCACTGGTGGAGAACAATGATAACGACTTAACCTTGGACGATGCCGTTCAGCTCGATTTGCARGGAGGCATTGCCTTTGGGACCGGCGAGCACCCCACAACCCAGTTGTGCCTGGAATTCATCCACAACGTGGTTCGTAGACCAAACATGCTAGTTATGGACTATGGTGCAGGATCAGGTGTCCTTGGAATGGCGGCGTGCAAACTGGAACCCACCACCMGCGCGATCGGTGTCGACATCGATGTCGATGCGGTCCACATTGCCAACGCCAATGCGGAAACCAACCAGGTGAACATGAAGAATTACCTGAGCGACYTGGTGCAAACCATTAGCGACAACGACGACGAATCGACGAGCATACGACTCCAAAAGGCCTACAGCAGTACAGGCAAGCAAGAGGTTGCAGAATCCCTGCCGGAGGATCTGAACGGGCCGATCTACGACGCTTTAGCAGCGAATATCTTAGCTGCTCCCCTGGTGTCGCTGGCCCCATATATATCAAAGCTCCTCAAGMCCGGTGCTCCTATGGGTTTGTCGGGCATCATGACCAGCCAATCGGATATGATATTAGAGGCGGCATATGCCGATTATTTCGACGATATGAAAGTGGAGAAAGAATTGGGTGGTTGGGTGCTGATTACGGGAAAACGAAAGAAAGAGTAAATTAGAAAAGGAACCAATGTACAAAGCATACAGCAATATGAATAACACCACTTTMTGTTTAATTAGTATATACTAATAGCAGCATTCGTCACTAGACCAAAGCACTAGACGGACTAACTGCAAAAAATTTAGATGATCTTCTTATAGATTGTATAGTATTGAAATACAGAGTAGCTAGGAGGAGGGTGGGATACTCCCTTACTAYTAGTACTATACTACCGTAGTAGTACTGGGCTCCTAACTAGTAGTAGGACTACAGGAGGTTGCCTGACCTTAAATGAAGTTATTCTATAGGGTCTGTGGAAAACTAGTAGTGATARCTAYGCTTGGAGGGGGGAGATAGGTCAATAGCTGGCAAAGCTTTTTGTTGATATCAAGAAAATACAGAGCACCTGTTGCAGATCTGCACCACAAATCAGAGTCCCTATTTTAGGTTTGTACCTTCATAGATGATGAATCAATTWTTTTAATCAAAACATTACCCAGTAGTAGCACGGGGTGGTACTGGTGTATAATATCGTGAGACAGGTATTTATCAGTACTAGGATTTCTACAGAGGCCTATGCGTGGAAGAGTGCAATATGTAGCACCCATGTGGTGARCCTCCTGTCTGAGTAGCAAGAAAGAAACTATTTCATCAGTCAAAKGATTTCTAATTCAGACCAGTTTCTGAGCTGTTTTTTTGGCTCACTTTTTGAGAATTCCAATCAATGGGCAAATAAAATTGAAAATCAATAGTAGTATATATTACATATTTTGAGAATCTATTTATTCTACCAGTAGTATAGAGCAGTAGTCCAGAATACAAAAAAAGGATTGGGAGTAATATTCTGTACGTGAGAATTTACATTTTGAAAATAGATTATAAGAAAATGGAGAAAGGAATTGATGACAATAGTAAAAAAGTTGACAATTGAGTCTTTTTTGGGGGTCACGATGTGATCGTGCCAAAATATTAATTTGTTACGGGTCTTGGAAAATTTATATTCATTAATGGAATTATATTTGGTGCGCGACATGCACAAATGAATTATTTTTTCAACGTCACAAATAAAAATAAAAATGGTACTGTCTGTTAAAGTGGTCATCAGTGGGGGCGCGATAGCAAAGGAATAACAGGGTGTAGTTTTTGCTGCGCGTGTTAAAAACACGCACAAATTATGGTCGCGACAAACGAAAATTATACCCTAAGAAGCATCTCTCGGATGGGTGAAACAAAATCACCACTGCTATTGACATGGACAAAAATTGATATCAAAATTGCTTCATCACATTGTCTTCAATGTATATCAAAAACTGATCTGTGTTCATTCCTGCTGTTTCATTGCAATTGACAGTAACAATGTTGTTTTCAACTNGCTTCATCACATTGTCTTCAATGTATATCAAAAACTGATCTGTGTTCATTCCTGCTGTTTCATTGCAATTGACAGTAACAATGTTGTTTTCAACTAGTTGTTTTTGACCATACTAGACTCCCTTGATTTTGGGAGCTGCTCTGATGAAAGCTGCTGTGTGGATCCATTTGTCTTTGTCAGCTTTTGCTGTTAACTTCAGTTGAAAGTGCAGAAGAAGTGGGTGACCCACAGCCTTGCTCCCAGCAACAGTAGTAATTCTGCAGCTGCTCTTGTTTGTTCTGTCCGTACCCACACAATGTTTTTGCTTGCTGGACCAAACCTTGTTGCTGGTAGACCAGCAACAAGAGCAGAGCAGCTGTCCAGTGCCAATCCACTCTCATTGAGATTCACTATCTGATTCAATTTGTTTGCCCTATTTGCCCTCYRATCTTAAGCAAGAAGAAAATCCAAGTTGRWKRAKA